TGCTTCTGTGTTTAGCGGTTTTGGCATAATCTTTAAAAATGTGGGAGCAACTAAGGGAAAAGCGGCATTGCCATTTGCGCATGCTGGGTGAACGACCGGCGGCTGGGAAATTTCCACTGAGTGACGTCATCAGCCATCGGTCGCCTCGGGCGCTACGAACCAGGCTCCGCTTATATGTGAACCGGAAAGGGGGGGAAGGATACTTTAAGACTAAATGGGGGCCTTGATAACTTGCATTTGTGTTGCATTTTAGTCACAATACGATAGAGGTAGTCATTTTTATTTGCTTAATTGAACGTCTTTGCAAACACTTTCTGGCAAAAAAAGGTTTTTCGTGGTCATTGCTACTGTACTTTGTAGAGCGTCTCTTGGCCAAAGATCGTTTGTAACAAAATAGTTCACTCAGCCAAAAAGGTGTCCGCAGAAGTCCTCACTTTGGTTCAGATGACACTGCAGTCTTTGTTTTGAAGCTCTCTTTCGCTTCACCAAAAGAAGAATAGGAATAGCCCAGTTTGTTAGTTTCATTTTTATTATATATTTTCACACAAGTAGGGTAACTCTGATAGCAAAGTCCGCACTTTTTCGAAGAGGGCGCCATCGAATCCTCATGGACACTTCTTAAATTTTTAATTGGCTCAATTTTAGAGGAGTGAACTATCTTGTTATACACGATCTTTGTCTTGGCCAAGATATCGATCGATAAAATTACGCTGTCCGGCTGAGGGATTACCAAGGCCGTGAGTATACTTCTATCTAAATAAATCTAAGGGCCGTACGCATAGCCACAGGCTATATATAATTTCACTGTGTAAAACAGTCACCTTTCCAACACAGTTGCAGCCACTATTTTATGTACAATGAATGTCAGAGTCACACCAACCGATAAACTTGACTAAGAACTGACTCAAATCTCTCATCACCCAATGTTTTGTTAAAAAGTATTGGCCTCTGACATTGTGGATGAGCCGTCGTTATCCAATCACCTATTGCTGTTATTGTCAGGTAGTCCCTCCAACTGATCATGTTGTGTAGGCCCCTCCCACAGTTGACCAATAGGCTAGGTAACAATAAATTTTCTGCTACTGATGAGGAAAGAGTATGATCCCTCATAAAACTAGATCTAGATCTAACTGAGCATTTGCCAAAAGGTGGGATACCTGGGTGTGACAAATGAGGTCCAAAATCAACTTTATGTAATAATTCTTTAATCACCCATATTATATAGCCTAATGATTGCTCTTTCAGACTCAGTAACTGCCAAAGCTGTATATGCAAGGGTCTTGGTGTAATTCTGACTTGAATGACGGAAATAGCAAAAAGTTCATTCATAACAATGATGACACAAATTTATGAATACTCGAAGTTCCTTTCTTCAGCTAGGCTGATGTTATATTTTGAGACATAGCAAATAACTTCCAAAACTACATAGAATTGACAATTTATAAAAATCTTTATTAATTTTTGATAAAATTACTTTTTTGTGTCATAATAGTTATGAACGAACAATAAGTGACCAAAATACTATCAATTATATCAAGTTTCATCGACTAGAATTGTCTAAAATAACACTCAATTGACTAATTATAGTCAAGTGATAAATGAAAGACCATTAAACAGCTATTTTTAAGCGCAAACTGGTCTTAGGGCATATTATGCATAAATTTAAAGTTCGTTCATAACCATTATGACACACTGTTTCGTTCATAACTATTATGACAAATTTTACTTTTGGCCCCTAAAATTTACTTATATTGTTCTGTCTTTCACATAAAACGTTTTTCATTTATGAGGCTTTCCTTAAAATGATAGATTCCTCTATGTAGGGAGAATTCAAAGTTTATATTTCCTGAAAAACCCTTAGAATACCTTTAAAATGGTTCGTTCATAACAATTATGACAAACTTCAATTTTGACCTAAAAATTTACTCATTTTGATCTGTCATTCATTTTTTAAAACTTTTATTAAATGAAACTCTCCTCATAATATGTATCTCTGTACATGTTTTTAAAGTTTGTTAACACTGAAAAGCCCTCAAAATATATAAAATGGACTATAAATAGTTCGTTCATAACCATTACTACAAAAGTATAATACTAATTAAAATCCACACCCATACACTTATGATAAAAATCAAAATATCAGAATGTATGCAAGGTCTATTCTGTCCTTTAGTTGGGTTAAAATTAAAAATACATCCCAAAACAACTGTAAATTACATGGAATTAGGTTTCGTTCATAACCGTTATGACACACTGTTTCGTTCATAACTATTATGACAAATTTTACTTTGGGCCCAAAAAATTAACTTATTGTTCTGTCATTCACATAAAATTGTTTTAATTTATGAGACTCTCCTCAAAATAAGGTTATATGTTGGAAGAATTCAAAGTTTAATCACTGAAAAACCCTTAGAATACCTTTAATTGTTCGTTCATAACTATTATGACAAACTTCAGTTTTGACCTAAAAATTAATATTTTGACCTGTCATTTACTTTAAAATTTCATATTAAATGAAAGTTTCCTCATAATATGTATCTGTGTACATGTTTTTAATGTTTATCAACTCTGTAAAGCCCTCAGAGTACAATATGTAGTTCGTTCATAACCATTACTACAAAAGTAAAATACTAATTAAAATCCAGACCCATACACTTATCATAAAAATCAAAATATCAGAATGTAAGCAAGGTCTGATACATCCTCAAGTTGGGTTAAAATTAAAAATACATCCCAAAACAACTGTAAATTACATGGAATAAGGTTTCGTTCATAACCATTATGACACACTGTCACGTTCATAACATGATGACAATCCATTATGACAAGCATATTTTTGCCTCTCCTTCGCTTCTCTTTTGAGTCATCAGCACGATACTCTTCCATGTTCATTCCACCATGTAAAAGGATGTTGTGAAACAGTGGGAAGTCCCTCACATGATATTTTGCAGAAATATCATAAAGTGTTTGTTCATAACATCATTATGACAAACCTGGATTATCTCAATCAAAGTCATATTTAAGCAAAACCATGCGATGGAGCGGAAAATTACCCTTCTGATGGATCAATGTCAAACCAATGTTTAATACCGGTCATTTCCCGGGATGATATGTTTAACGATTTGGGTTTTCTAGACCTTGGAAAGTCTGATGATGTAATTATGACACGAGTTATGAACGAACTTATAAATTTTACTCAGCAATAACATCATTAATATAAAAAAATAAAACCCTTTTAATGGACACACGCTGTTATGATGGTGTATACAAACTATTTTCAATGTTTGAATGCACTACTGTTTGATAGTTTAAGATTAACAATATTCTGTATTTAACATACAATTACGAGTGCACTCAGGATGAGTAAAAAATGCCCTATTTTTAGTACTATTATCTTTCTATGTAGAGATATAAGATGCACACATCAATCTACTTGCTCATGCAGCTTGACCAACTTATTTCCTTGCCATACGCATAAAGTTTTTAGAAGAAAACATATTTTACCATGAGTAGTGGTTGATTAAAAAAGTCCTCATGCAAACACCCCCACCTTTTGGCAAAAGCTCAACTAGACCTGCCACTCATCCTGATTTAATTGGGATTATTTATATGAGTCAGATTTTTTTTCCCCCAAATCTGGTGTCTAGCATCTTGTCGATTTTCCCTATTTCGATTGCGTATCCCGATTTTTTTGTTCCTTCTGTTGCCCTAGATTTTTCAGAAACCTACATTCTTTCTCTGTAGCAGGAAGCACCCGTTGAACTTTTTGTCTGCAGGAAACTCTGATTATTTTATTTTCCTAAAAATAAATATCTTTTGTTGGATCTTTGCTCGCACGTGTTATTTCCACAACAGTCGAACCTGCCTTTTTACGGAGACATGTGTAAGACGGAAACCTGTCTTAACGGAATCTCCCTGCTCCCCCTTGATATTTCTCTGTAATTACCTCTATGAGACTAAAACCTGTCCGACTCGGAAACGGAAAGAAAAAGCCGCTCCTTCCAAGGGTTTTACCTGTCTCAGATGGGAAAGAAATGCTTTGCCCGCTCAGCCCTGATTTAAAACAAAACTCACAAGTTTGGTTCCACTTCCTCTAAACTTAACGTCATGCTGCCAGGCGAGGAAGGGGAGTAGGGGTGCACTTTGGGGGTAGATTAAGGACCTTACTTTATAGTTATAACCTCCTTGGGGTAGATGTTACCCCATCTCTTAGTGAGCCCTGAGCGATGCAATTGATCAGGGTGGTGTGGGTTTGAAATCTCATGAGTACCAGTGAAAGTGGCCGAGTAGCGAGCCATCTCAGAATCTTTCCTGGATAGCCAGAAGCCAGAGGTGTGAGATTAGTTTGACCAATGCCTGCCTCCTTGATCGTACAGCCAGCCGAGAAAAGAGTTCCTCGAATCGTTGTTGCATGGCAGTGAGGGATGGCATTGGTTGACTGCTATTACACCGATGGGTAGGACTAAAGGTAGAATCAAAGCATTCAAATGTTTACTGTTTTTAATAGATCAGATGGTGGTCCTATGTAACAATGCAAAAGCGCTGGTGGTAATTGGATAGTAAGACTGACGCATGTCATTATCACAGAGACTAGCAGTTGAGAGGTGTGAAGTTTTGATCACTGCTTGCAGACCGGACAAGCGACCTTTGATACCACCGGCTGGGCCTTTGAAATCTCCCTCCTTCTCCTCCATAAATCCCCTAAGGCAGAATTTTTTTCGGGCTCCCTTGCAATCTGTCTTACACAGGTTCGACTATAGATAGATATTATAAATAGGTTGTATTGATTTGATATTCCCCACTTACGACATTCTCAAGATCTAGATCTACTTTCGCTTTGTTACCACTCAGAGAAAATTCTCCAATGATGGCCAGATAAAGTCTGCTACTGTAACATTAACAATTTGCTACATGATACAAATGATTGATATTATAATTCATAGTTCTCTCTCTCCCTCTCTCTCTCTCTCGTTTCAATGTAAATGCTCTTTTTTTTCCAGTTTCTAAAACAGTGGCAGTATTTTCACACCCTGATGCAAGCTTTTCAGCTACAGCCTACAAAGTACAATGAAAAATTGGATGAAATGATCAGCTTTGTCGCACAGGTTAGTAAACTTTAAGACCTCTATTAATAGCCGTAGATGTATTTGTACCCATCAGCGTAGTGTGGTTATTTTTCTTAAATTTTAGGTCTTTTCGGAGATATACTGCTTGGGTCCTGCTCCTCAGTGCCATGTTTAAGGGCACATGAGAAGTACATGTATAGCCTTTAGATTTTAAGAAGGCGACCTTTTGATTTTAAGAAGATGACTACTTACGAAAAGAACAGGAAATATATCATGAATAACAACAAAATCCAAACATTTTCACTTTTAAGGATGAGCTTGGCTCCACTTGTTTTCCTTTGCTCTGCTGTCATTTAAAAAAGTATAGTATATTTATAAATGCTGTTTTCAAAATTTTGCAGGAGAACCGAATGAATGTTATTACAAATATAAAACAAGATTTACTTTTTAAAAGATAATAAGTAAGTTATTATCAAAATTGTATTTTTTTTTAATATTGATTTCGGATGTTTGCGCAGTTTGTTTTCTTGGTAGTAACACAATATTGTTTTTTTGACTCTCCTGTAATATTATAAAAACTTATATTAACTGTATTTTTTAAATGACGGCACAGCTTTACCACCTAGTTTCGAGCTAGTCGAATTTGACTATTTTTCAAGAGAGGCATTTATATGAGTGATATGGGCATGATTATGAATGGAATGTGTGTGTATATAATGGGAGGGGGGGGGGGAGAGATAAAGGAGAGCATAAAAAAGAATAATTAATGATTAATACTTCAAATTTTTAATTTGCATATTCAAGTGGCTCAAAATGTTTATAAACTGTCATGGTACTACCATTTGTGCGATTTGATCAAGAATACAAAAGTTGTTAACAAACACTGTTGGAAATGAACTAATATGCCTTTAGACTGAAATTTAATGTGTACTTCAGGAAAATGATGTTATTAGTGCACTCCTTTTTTTTTGCATATTTGAGCATTACAAGTGTGATAGTTTTGGAAAATGCTTTCTAATGTCCTACTGAGATCAGATAAGATAGGTAAAATCATCAACACAAATTGAACAAGACGACTACAAAGAAATAAAGGAAAACAAGACAAGCTAGACTTAAAAACCACCTTTGTCTCCTTGCAATTGTTTATTTGTGTACTTTTTCCTGTGCAGGTTAGTCACTGCTACAAAGAAGAAGTTGGTGATCTGCCAGAGCAGCTGGGTGACATCCTAAGAAATCACAGCACAGTGCTAGACAGGACCATTAGAATGGTAAGCTGAAGGTATTCCATTAGAGGGGCTTTGTAAATGTTTTGAAAAGTGAAAAGTTTTCTATTATTAATTGTTTTGATTGATACAGAACTTTTTCTTTTAAACAGAATTTATTTGGAATTGATGGTGCTTGCTTTTCTTGAGGAAATGCTTAGTGGTTACTTTACATTGAGATTATGTCCTAGTGGAAGGAGTGGTGGGGGCTGTCTGACGTTTTAAATGATAAGCAAATACAAACAGAAAGAAACAGTAAAATAAGGGAGGTTTTCATGGGAAATAAAGCTTTTGATTCCCCTGCCTTTGCTGTACTTCATAAACTGTAGAGGAACATGAAGTCACACATCTCATCAAACTGAATAGACCTTAAGACTAAGACATTTGTGCAGGTAGTTGTTATTTTCTGCAGTACCAGATGTGTGCAGTGATTCGGGGTTTTGATTTTTGTGATGACACTGTATCTCCTGGAGTAATGACGCTTCATGAGGTTATGACTCCATGATAAAACAATACATCAAAATAGAGACTGGGGAGCCGCGGCCCTGTTGTGGCAAGGAATAGGCTCCAATGAACGAACGCGGTGACAAGTGACCAAATCCTGCGTGCAAAAAATAATATGATCAAGTTGTAATCTCCAAAAATTCACTCTGTCTTCAGTATAACATTGTTGCCTTTCTGGTATTAAAAGAAACTTTCTGATCTTTGAAGAATTTGTAACAATTTAATTTTGGAATTTATCTTTTACAGACACTGATCAAAGCGCTGATTATGCTGAGAAACAAAAACTTGATCTCAGCCACCCAAATTCTCCAGCTGTTCTTCAAGCTCCTCCGATGTGAAGACAAGCTGCTGAGGAAGACCATCTACCAGTACATAGTCTCAGACATAAAAAATATAAATGCTAAACACAAGAATGCCAAGTTGAACTCTGCCCTACAAAATTACATGTTTTCCATGCTGCAAGAGAACAGTGCGATAACCGTGAAGACTGCCTTAGACATCATGACTGAACTCTACCGAAGAAATATCTGGAACGACGCTAAAACTGTGAATGTGATCACTACTGCTTGCTTTTCAAAGATTACAAAAGTGATGGTTGCTGCTCTCAAGTTCTTCTTAGGTAATTGTCCTTTTTAACGTATGAGGGGTGCTCTCGTGGCCTAGAGCTTAAGGTGTTCGCCTCTCATTCAAAGGTCCCGGGTTCGAATCCAGGTAGTGACCAAAAAATTTTCTTCTCTAAATTTGTCTCCTTTCACCTCCTTTCCTACTCTCTAGCAATGTTCTGTCGTCTGCTTTCGTCTCCTCTTTCTGCCCCCCACCCCTTAACCTCCTTTGCCCCCTCCTCTGGGCTCCTGACTCTTTCTGCAGCCTTTCTACTGCTACTCATTGGCTTCTTCTTACTGCTGTCTTTCAGCCACACCCCTGATCTTCTGGTAGGAAAGATCTACACCTAGCCTTCTCGGACAAGGACGAAAAATCTCGGAGGTCCCGTGTGCAAGTTGTGCACGTTAAAGATCCCTTGGTGGTCTAAAATCGATAAGAGTAGGCTTCGGCCGCCACCCGCGCAAAATTCAAAATTTCCTACCAACTGAAAAAGTTTAGTGTGTCCCGCGCGCTCATATGACCTTATGCAGTTGCGAGCACAGTAAAACACTTACAAAAACAAACAAACAAACAAAACATTACCTTATGACATTGTTTTACTTATTCTTAACTTTTGAGGGTGGAAACAATGAATTTCATGTTTTATAAATTTAAGTAAGTTTCAAAGTATGTCAAGTAAAGTAGACTACTAATTGATTTTGAATCCTCCTAACTTTCATTCCAGTATGCTTTATTTTATTAGTCCAGGAGGTGGGGATATCAATGAGAGAACAATGAACTGCACATAGTATTTTGAAAGTTGCAAATAAATGCTTAAAATGAGCTTTTGAGTACCTCTGTTGTCTTGTCTTTCCTCATGGTTAACGACTTTGTCCTGGTGGGCCAGTTTGTGTGCTCTTAAATGATTATAAATGTCTCAAGTAATGAACATCGAGTTCTGTCATACTTTGTGGGCTGGTTTTTGTTTGTACTTTACATGTGTGATAATCCTTTTTTTTTTCAGCTGATCTATTTGTATATATTGTGTTAAGCTTTTTGCTTCTTTTTTTTTTTTTTCTTACTCTAAATGTGTTTTCATGATTTTTGAAAGTTGGGAGAAAAAATGGTGCATAGGTCTGTCTCAAACTACTTTGCTTCCAGGGCAATTGTCGTCAGTTCATTAATGGATGCATGGATTCATGAAAGTATATCTTTTAACGGGAGGAGCTACCCTTGAGGACCATTTTCTATGTTTGTTGCCCGAGATCAAATCTAAGTACACATATAAGTTAGACATAGTAAAATCTCTTGATACGCAATTTTATTTTGGCATAGCTACAACGGTTGCTATGGAAATGGTCGCCATCTTGAAAATAAACAGTGAATTTGAAATCCCTAAGGCTTTCTTATTTACAGACCAAATTTGACCAAATTTGGGGAGAGTATATCTGAACCAAACCCTATCAGAGTAACAGCAAGTTTTTTTCAATACGTGCAAAAGAAAAAAATTATGAGAATTTTCCCAAAGTATAAAAAAAAACTTGTTCTAAATACGTAATCGCTTGCCAAAGGAAAAATGTTACTTTTTTCGCAAATATCTTTCTGTTACATTGATGGCAGCCTTGCCAACTATGTTTCCTGAAAGTTTCATGTCAAAAGGATAAAAACTAAGGAAGGAGTAGGGAAAAAACTGCACAAAAATTACATTTTGCGAAAACTGACAATAATTGTGAAAATTCACTATATTAATCCATCTTCATGTTTTTAAAGGCAAATTACCTGTAGAATAAAGTCTTTCTCAATTGAATCCATGCAATTTTTAGACAAAAAACTGGTGGATCTTCAAAAATCAGCCAACATAAAATGTGCATAGCCTGACCTAAAATCAGCAAAATCAAGGGTCGCTCCTCCCCTTAAAGAATTGTACATTCACTTCTAGCAAATTTTCATTATCTTCCTTTTCTCATCTTTTGTTTCTCAGGGAAGGATGAAACGGAAGAAAAAGAGGAAAGTGACTCTGATGATGAGGAACCAAAGAAGAAGACAAAAGAATTGAGTCTAGGGCACAGAGTGGCCAAGAAAACAAAAAAGAGGAAAAAGAAACTGGACAGAGCTCTTGAGGCTGTGAAGAAGCATAAAAAGAAGAAGACGAGTGTGGAAGCTTTCAATTTCTCAGCTCTTCATCTCATTTACGACCCGCAGGGCTTTTGTGAGAAACTGTTTCGTCAGGTTGAGAAGACCACAGAGAGGTTTGAGGTGAAGCTGATGATGGTTGATTTGATTTCACGCCTCATTGGTATCCACAAGCTGATAGTGCTCAATTTCTACCCGTTCATGAAGCGATTTTTGCAGCCACATCAGAGAGAGGTATGATTTGGTGGGCTGTTTGACATCCATGTTTTGTTAATAGGTTTATGATGTTAAAAATGTATTTTTAGATACTTTTTCTGACTTATAAGTTGTCAGTTTTCCTGTCCCATTTGCTTTGCTCACTGGCTACTGGTCTTATAATGCGTGGATTAGGGGTTCCCTTCCAAGATTTTGGTTGTGCGTTTTTAACTGTGTTATCTAGCTTAGTGATAATTATGCTACTGGGTTCATAATCAATAGGGCATGGATTCTGTTTCTTTCTGTGCCATTTCCATTTGTATGATTAGGATGCCATTATCTGCAAGAGGATGAACCTGTCCCAAACTAGAGTCATCTCTGAATGGTGATGTTGTGCCATCTGTAATCCTTTACCTAGTGGAAAATTGAAAATTTTAACAGAAAGCCCCTATATGTTTCAGAGATGCCGACCAGTACGATTTTACGTATTTTAGTACGATTTTTGGCAGAAAATACGCGAATACGACTTTTCATGAAAAAATACGCAACCTGGAATGCGAAAACTACGAGATTCAGCTTGGGCGAGTAAACCAGATTATCTCAGGTCCCATCTTTTGTCAAAATAGTATCAGTATCGCAGAACTAGAATATTTGAAAACCAAGTCCGATGTGGTCGGTAAGTTCATTTTTGCCGGTCGCGATCGTGATATTATATTCGTTCAGCTTTTCCCATCTGGGGAGTACGTTTCACTTTCACACGAAAAGGCAGCTATGGCGGCAGGCGGAAGCGTATGTGACACCGAGGCTCGATCGGGAAAATCAAGATCTACTACTTTCGCTTTCGTTACCACCGAGAAGTTTGCCAGCAGTTGTCTGATAACGCAACATTTGTGGCATGCGGGTTGTGCAGTATAAACACATTGTCGCCGTGCAAATAAAATGTAAAAAATACTCTGACTCGTCGCTGTGCTGTCACTTGTGGAGAAAAAAAAAAGAAAAGAAAATACAAGTGTCGTCCGATTTTTAGATTGTCTGGCTCGCCATCGTGACCGGTCACTGACCCTGCGCGCATTCGCATCATAAATAAATGCGGCATTGTGTGAGCAAAGACCGTCTTTGTGGGAGTAACGGCGTTGCGAAGTATATGACTACGGAATAGGGGAGGGGATTATTGATTTTTTGGGGGTTTAAGATACTATCGGGGGTTTAAGGCAACACCAGAGGACAAAAACTTGGCAGCAATTTTCAGAATTTTGATTAGAGCTTTCTGCAAAGCGCGCGTTGGTGCAGGCCATGTGCGGAATCGGGATCCTTCATACTTTGCAAGTCTGTGTTATTGAAATAAAGTGTTCGCGTTTCATTGGATGGGTGATAGTAAATTATACCTACTTGGATGGATGATAGTAAATTATACCTACAGTGTATGTTGTAGCTTTCTGTTCAAGACTGGCAGATTTTCAGTGTCACTGCATCTTGCCCAACCACAGTTGTTACAACCCTCACAGTGCATGGGTCTACTTGAGCCATTCAAGTTATTGCTTTTCTCTGAGTTTGAGCAATAATTTGAGTCTGTCAGTTCATAATATGAATCATGACACCCAGACTGGTTCTTGATAGTCGAAATTCTTGTTCTAGACCCTTCCGAACTCTCAAAGCAGGATTTATTTTTTATATAATAATGAGAGGAAAATATTATATAATAGACTGAAATACTTAAGTCAAACAAGACCCCAGTACGACATTGAACACCGACATGCTGTTGACTGGATACATGTATATTGTACGCGTGTCACGGCACACGAAATCAGCCGAAATCGCGCCTTTTAGTTGCACCGCAGCTCCTGCTGTCCGGAGGTAATTAATCACCCCGCCCAGTACCTCTTGACCTTTTTCATTGGGGTCATTTGACCTCATCGCACCGTTATAAACTGGGATGTGTTCTCGATAAAATTGTCTCATTTACTACCTCAATTGCAGTGGTGCCGTTAGACCAACCAAGTAGTTTTAATTTATAGACTTTAGCAACACCATTTCTCCTCCTCTTAAAGAAAGTCCCTGTCTTCTAAGTTTTATACCAGGTGTTCCACACGTGTCTGTTTGCTGCCTGTGTAACACGCTTTTCTCATTTCAAACTGTGGATAAATAATCATTTATTGCGACAAAACGGTGCATTGAATTTTTTTAGGATTAGTATGTGCGTGTTCAGTAACAAATCCTGTTTTGCGCGCTCATATGACCTTAGCAGTTGCGAGCGCCGTAAAACCTTATACTATACTATACTAAATCCTGTTTTAAGTGTGTAAATTTCAGTACTACCGCAGTTGTGGTTGTTAAGCTACATCGGATTATTGTGTTGGGCCCGCGAATTTACTAACGTTATTGCCGTATAAAACGAAGACCTTAAAATGGAGCACATCCCTGAAAGTCATGTATCCGCTTTAAACAGTCTGTGCAGAGTGTGCGGAAGACTGAACATTACAGGGAAGCAGAGAAAATCCTTTAAAAAGGCGTATTTAAGTTCGGAAAAAGCCAGTGATCTCTTCCTTGTGTTTGGGTGGAATATCAAAGATGACTCTGGTGACAAACAAAATGTTATAAACGATCTATGATGCTAAACTTCGAAATAGTGCAGTGTCCCTACAAGCATTTGGTGTGCTTACATCGAAGACTATGATGCGAAAACATGCACAGTCAGTGAACAGAAAAAAACTGCTCTCTCTTGGCTGTACCACAGTAAAGCAACGTGACCCCCAGTCTCACTACAGCAGTCAAGAAACATACACAAACCAAGCTAGTCCTAGCACCAACATTTCTGAGACAGACACAACCACACAGAGTACATGTACCCATGCTCTCAGCACACTCAACACCAAAAAACGACCCACATACAGTACAAGTCAGAATTGCCACACCAACCCTCAGTCTGTTGTCCTATTCAGTGACCAACACGTGTAGATGTGCAACATGCAGAGACAATGATTTAGGACATGTGTGTATAGATAATAATAAAACATATAGAGCCTACTCAATAATTCGTGCGGAGTTAAGTGAGGATAATGTGTGGATATTTACGGCGAAGTGATGCATAGATCAACCATTTTGAGGTTACGGAAACTGCGGTAGCTGTGAAATTTGATGAGTAGATACCTTTATGTGTTACGTTTATGTCCCTCAAATGTGAACTAATCCTGATGCTCAGCTTTCTAATTATCGGCGCTCGTTACGTCACAACTGGAAACGCTAATGGGAATCAGACATGACCATCTTGCACTGTCTGTTACAACTAAACCGACCAATACTGATTCACTTTGTTTTTGAAATGTCATGAAAAAGACTTGGAGCTTCTGATTCCCTCATGCAGTTAGGTCTTTCAGTCAATATTATTGCGTTAAATAGGGCTCAATTCAGGATGAAAAAGACGATTTTCTAAATCTCCCGCACGGTCACGCTGACCGAAGAATGCCCAAGCGATGACCCCGCTCACCTTCAAAGGTCAGCGCGGCACTAGCTACCTGAGTTCTCAACTAAAGTATCCTGTTTCTGTGCGCCGTGGTGTGTGCTCCCTTTTTCGAGCTGGTGAGCTAGTAATTTTTTTTCAGGAAATATTGCTGGACACCCTGAACATTTTACTATTACTGGTTGGTGGGTCGGTCGTGGGGAATACACATTTTCACCTGAAAATACACATTTTCATATTTCCCAATACTCATTTCGGTTTTCTGTGGTTGGCATCTCTGATGTTTAAATTTGTTTATTTTCTTTCAGAATAAATGTGGGGGTGATTGGTTGGAGAATAAAATTGGTTAGTTTTACTTTTGTACTTTCCATCCGTTGTTTCTGCCTGCCTGTCTTGCCTTTTCCCTGCACTAAATAACCATGTTCATCATGTACCCAGATTCAGATAAATCGCTGAGGTATGATGATCATGAACTTAAAGGGTTCCACATATGTGATGATCTCAACTTCAAAGTAGTCAAACCAATAATAGTGATAATGAAATAAGTACTCAGATACTGATGACCTCTATTTCCTCAGGTGACCAGGCTTTTGCTGTACCTGGCCCAGGGAAGCCACGAGGTCGTCCCCCCTGAGGCAATAGAAGAAGTGCTCAAGACAGTAGCCAACAACTTCATTGCAGAAAGAAACTCGAGCGAAGTCATGGCGGTCGGACTGAACGCTGTGAGGGAGATTTGTGTCCGGTGCCCGCTGGCAATGTCTGAGGACCTGCTGCAGGACCTTGTGCAGTACAAGTCACACAGAGATAAAGGTGAGGCTTTGGCCTGATGAGCTGGTAGATTTTTTTTTTTTTCCTTTTTTGTTGTTTTTTTGGATTAGGCTGCTGGATGTTACTACTGGAAGATATGGAAGATACAAAAAATTTAGTTTGGGTCCTGTGTTCAACCCAGTGCATCCCTGGGTGGTGAATAAAGGAATTGCTTCTTGGTGTGGAGATTTGCTACTAAGTGATATTGAACCAGCTGACGGTGGTCATAAAGAGTGAAGAACCTTGGTGGCACAGATGCTTTAATAAATACCTCAGATGGTCAAAGAGTGGTGGACTGTCTTGGCAGAGGGAGATGCCTTAAATACGACCTGCACCACCTCTTCTGTATGTTGTCATTTGAATGATGAAGGCTAGCAGAGAAAACTGCACAAACCGGCAGTTGGCAACTGGCAACCACTGCTGTAACCTCCCAAGAAATGATGAATAGCCACAATAATTTCTGAGACGGCAGAGAAGACGAAGTGAGTGATTGACCATGATAGTCGATGTCCCTTTCAGATCTGGTGCGTGAGGAAGAAGAAAGCTGCAGAGTTTTAGCAGGAAAGCATAGAGTTCAGTTTCTTTCAGGGCTGATGTCAATGTCTTGTTCTGGGGAAAGACACTTAGCACAATGTTCCCTCGCTTCATCCAGTTGTGAATTTAGTACCTGTGTCTGCTGCTGGTGTATATGTGTGTGTTGGGGGGAGAGGATTGTTGCACTGCGACTGATTAGCCTCTTCTGTCCTGGAGATGATTTCGTTTTCCTCCTTTTGTGCTATCTTTACTGGGATCAGTTTCTGCCCTTTGCTCCTCACAAGCCCTGAAAGCTTTATGCTTCTTTTTTTCTGATTTTGGTTTCATACTTGATATTATGATAGTAACTTGAATTTTTTTGGTGTAAATCATTTTTTTTTCTTATGCTCTTCTTTTCTGTGCTGTTTAACAGGCTGTTTTGTTTCTGTTGCTGGTAAAATTTATGTTTTGAAATATTATCTCTTTTTACTTTTGTCTTGTTTCCTTTTAATGTTTATTATTATTTACCACCGAATGCTTTTTTTATATTATTTCATTTTTTTTAAAATTCCTTTTTGGTATTCTATGCCATGAAGAATTAACGTTGTATTTTACTGTTAACCCCCTCCCCCAAAAAATAACTGAATGTCTCTTCTTTTTTCAGCTGTAATGATGGCAGCCAGATCCCTGATTCAACTGTTCCGAAAAACTAACCCACATCTTCTTCATCGGAAAGACAGGGTATGTAACCTTGAACTTGAAGGTTGACCCCGGTCATATATGCGGTTGTTAGGAGCACTGTTGTGCCTTGACAGAACATAATGGTTGTTTTGTTTTGTACCCGGGAGGACTGCTCTGATGGCTATAAGATTGAACCATTTGAAAATAATGAATTGTTTACTCATGACTCTCTAATGTTTTTGAATCTCTATAGTTGGGTACATTAAAATATTTATGGTAATATTCTTTACAGTAAGTGGTGTTTGTTTGTTTTTCAACCTGTTCTTTTGTGGGTGGTTGATGGGTACTCTGTTGTGGTTTGCTCCTTCTTTTTGGACTAAATAGCTCTCATTATTATCTCTTTTTCTTTTTTTGTGTATGTTACTCTTTTGAAACACCACTATGCTTTTGAATGTCCTTGCCTTTGATTTCTAGATGTGCATTCATAGATGAGAGTTGTTTGAATTGAATGGTGCATGTTCCCCTGTTTGAATTTTTAAGCTGTGTTCTTGCTTTCTAATTCTCAGGGCAGGCCTACAGAAGCTCAGACCGAGCTCAAGGTACTGCAGTATGGGGAACACGATGCCACAAGTTTTGTTCCAGGGGCGGAGGTCATACCTGAGACTGAAGAGAAAGAGCAGACGAAAAATCAAGATCAGGGTGAGAACCAACAGGACAGTTACTGTCTATCCAAACACAATAGAATTGTTCTAATTAGATTCAGCAATAGTTGAAAGATTTAAAGATTGTTGTTGGCTGAGTTTAGGCAGCTTAATCAAAACTGATGGCGGCACAAAGGAAGTCATCATGAACAGACTTGGCAAGGCAAGATATGTACACAGAAGCATGATCAACGTCTGGAAGTCAGGACAGTTTAGTATACAAACCAAGCTAAAGCTCTATAACAGCTGTGTACTATCCACACTCCTATATGGAGCTGAATGCTGGAGGATAACTGATCATGACCGTGCCAAGCTATCTTCCTTTCATACAACCAGCTTACGCCAAATCCTCAGAATCTTCTGGCCCGACTAGATTTCCAACACAGATCTGTTACATAAATGTAGGCAAGAGGACATGACCACCATAATAAAAAGGAGAAGATGGAGATGGATTGGACATGTTCTGAGAAGAGAACCAGACTCTATTGTGAACACTGCCCTCCACTGGACACCCGAAGGACGTCGCAAAAGGGGCAGACCCAAAGTGACCTGGAGATGCACAGTTAAGTCTGAAATGAAGTCCTGGAATCATTCGTGGAGAACGCTGACCAAGATGGCCCAACACCGACAGAGCTGGAGATCCTTTGTTGCTGCCCTAAACGCCAGATGGCGTAATGGGTAGTAAGTAAGTTGGCTGAGTTTGGGCTTAAATAGCACCTAGACACAGATGGCTAGTGCATCTATAAATAAATTATCAATGGCCTTTTGGCTTAGTTTGTGTCAAGCTGGAGTATGTTACAAATGAGCATAATCAGAACTCCCACTGAGGTAATCTTGAACTGGTGATGTTTGGGAATTTTTCAAGGCTCTCTATGGACTTGACTCAATATTATCATACATGGACTTTGAATTATGAGGTAGAAAACTGGCATTATGTTCTCCCTCAGAGTTTTTCTATGAAAATCGTATGTACTTTTTTCATTTGAATATGTCATCAGATGGCTGGGAATCTTGTAGTGATGAAGACGATGACAGTGATGGTGAATGGGTCGATGTCTACCACTCTTCAGATGAGGAACAGGACAAGGTAACGATAGTCATCACATCGCAATAGATTTGAATTTCATACTACTACTTTTTTTAACGAGTCCCTGATCGTACTTTTGCCACTTCTCTTCATATTTCACATTTTTCATTCATTTGTTTTGTGAAATGCTTTGGGGAGATGAGGATGTTTGGTAGCCAGCCTTAGTGGTTAGGCTTCTGGACCCATAGTCGTGAGATTGCGGGTTCAGGGGTTCAAGCCTCAGGTCGGTCCTACGTTGTGTGGGGAAAGGCATTTTAAACAAATATTTCTATTTGGCTGAGTCTTTTCGGGGACGGACGTTAATATCTGAGGTTCCGCATCTTAAAAAACACCACGCTGTTGCAAGGGGAGTTACACATATACAATTTCAATTTCAATGGCAGAGTAGGGGTTGGCTCGTAAAAGGAAGAATGTTGTATTCCCTGAGCCTGTGCCATAGTATCTGTTTATCTTTTTCTTGGTGTTTGTTTCTTCTTTGATGGCAGAAAAAAAGGATGTCGTTTTGAAGGGAGAGGGGGGTTTGGTTTTGTAAATTTGTAGGGTGGTCAAATTCGTTAGCCTTTTTTCACTCTGTGATCAAGAGTTTGACTAATGCCTTTATTATTTTGAGTACTCTTTATGTTTTCTGGGTATTTATTATCTCTTGATGTCTGCAGTTAAAATGGTCGACCATATAATTTTAAGAGAAATTGAGAAAAATGCTTTTTCCTAAGAATGCCATGTCCTTTCTTAGGGGGTGAGGACTATGACTGGCTTAACATTTTTTCTTTGCATTCTCAGCACCTTTATGCTAAATTTCTTGTTTCTTTTTCAGGATAAAGAAATATCCCCAGAGGCTCTGGAGGAGAAAAGGAAGCTTGCTGAAGAAATTTCCACCACTCGCATCATGACTGACGAAGACTTTAAGGCCATCTCCCACAACCAGATCTCTAAGGATATAACTACAGCAAAGTCTCAGACTGGGTCACGGAAGAGAAAGAGACCAGAGGCATTCGGAGAGACTGAGTATGTGATGCAGACGTCGCCTTTTACTATTCTCTCATTGGAACCAATTTGATATTCATTATTGTGAAGAATGTTTGGAATTTTTAATCATGGATAAGGGCAAACAAGAATTATAAGTGAGAAAATAGAAAACATAAGCACAGAGTTCTTCTATGCATAAGAAAATAGAGGTCTGTTTTACAGGAGAGAAAATATAATATGGTTTCAAAGATAAATCATAGATTGTTACGTGCACAGCATTTGATATTCAAGAAAGACTAGTGAGAAAAATGAAGTTTATAACATGAACTTTTCGGAATTTTGCTTTGTTTCAGAGTCGTTCAATGTGAATGCTTGTGTCCATTCTTTCAACTTCATTAATTCTCTCGTGGTTTCCTATCCCTACAGTAAAGAGCTTCCCAAGCTTGGAGACATTGAGATGGTGCACAAGAAAAAGCTTCACGACAAGGAGTCGAGACTAGCTACTGTTGTGGTAAGCTCACTATATCACTATACATAAATTTACTCTGCTTTGATTGGTAGAATGATTTTTTTTTAAATCATGTTTTCTCTCTAATATTTCTCACATTGTAATAGTTTGTGGTTCATGTGCCCCCCCCCCCCCCCCCCCCCCCCCTTCCAAGCAAAAGACAAGAGATTAAGTCCTGTTGGTCTTTTAACCACATGCTGTCCTGGTCAACATTGTATGTTGAACAAATTTTTTATGGGGTTTGAGCTTAGTGTGTGAAAATCCATGAAAACTACTCACTCATAGTCAAAGTACCGAGATCCAAAAAGCTGCAAGTAAAAATTAATTTTGGAGAGGCGTTGTAGATTTATGCATTTTTGTACCTTTTTGTTTTCCTATTTTCTATTTAAAATGACCATTTCTGAGGTGAGGACAGAAGTGCCCACATTTGCTTGCTCACCGATGAAATTGCTAGTATAGAAATAGGAATGCACAGTTCCCCTGTCTGTGAAATGCACATACCTGGATTTCTTTTTGTATGCCCACAACAGCATTTTTTTCACTTTAATTTTGTTTGTCAAATTAGGCTGGAAGAGAAGGTAGAGAGAAGTTTGCGCATGGGCCCCAGAAGATGAATCCATTTGCCAGTACGAGCAATAAGGAAAAGGCCAAGAAGAAGGCCTTCACCATGGTGAAACACAAGATCCGACGGAAGAAGGTGAAACGCTCCTTCAAGGAGAAACAGGTGAGTTCACTTTTGTTTCGGACTCTTAAATAGTGCCGTTGGTGGCTTTTCTGATTTGTGATAGTCATGTTTTCCTCACATGCCCTTCGAATGAAAAGATGTTGAGATGCTGGGGTAAAGTGAGTTCAAACGACTTGTTAGTGGAGCTATGTTAATACAGTCGACTCCGCTTGTATTGAACACGAGTTCATCATCATCATTGCCCTTCTCACCCTGCACCATGGTATAAGCCAAGGACAAACACTTGCCACCTTTCTCTATCCTGGGCTAGCCAGCCTCTTGATGTTATTTCATGTCTTCCCTCTTTTCTGTGCATCAATTTCTGTGGTTTTTCTCTAGGCTCCATGTGGTCTCCCCTTGATCTTTTACCCTATGAATTCCAATCCAACACTTTCTTTGTCGATCTTAAGTTAAGTTAATCGTTTTCTGGGGTCCCAGCACCTATACAGTGGAACTCGGATTTAATGAGCTCGGATTCAATGAGAACTCAGATTCAACGAGATGACATAGATTCCCCGTTTTTTTTTCTTCTTTAAAATCAATGAAAATAACGTGGATTCAACGAGCACTTAAATCAGCGAGCTCGGATTCAACGAGGTCGCTTCCAGGGTAAAAAGCCCCCGCAGACGTGGCTTCGCTCATTTTTCTCCCAGAACGAACTTTATCTATTCCCGGAAACCATCCATTGCCCCTGCATCGTGAACCATTGTTTACTTAACCGATTGCATGCGACCAATCAGCGGCCTTTTTTCGTACCATGTATACCAACACATGCGTTCTAGGCACGTGCACGTGTCTACTCTAGCGTGTGTCGTGGTCGGATGGGCGGCCTGCATATGTGTGGCTGTGTGTGCGTGTCGGGGGGGGGGGGGGGGGGGCACTAGCGGTCCGGGCGTTGAACGTTGCAGATACAAGCGCTGCACATTCTTTTTTTTTCCCTCAACAATTGATCATTATTACAATGATAAGCTAGTCTTGACGTAGATCTACACAATGAATTTGCGCTGGTCTATGAAATCTAAAGTTGCCGTATACTAGGCTCTACACTGCTACACAACTTTTGGTAAACAATCGAGATGACACATGCGTGTGCATTTGAACGAATCAGTCTTTTTTTTACACACCTCATAATATGCAGGAATTTCAGGAACTACTTGTGACTTCTCTTTATACATTACTTGCTCAGAGCCTGTAATTATCTACACGAAACCTCGTGTTTGCTATAACGAACACTCGGATTCAATGAGATTTTAGGTCAGGCCCGGCGACCTCGTTGAATCCGAGTTCCACTGTACTTCTATGCAAGTCCCAATGGTTAAGTTGAACTTCGGATAAGTTTATCTCTAATGTTGCCCGAGAGCAGTCTTAGTTCCTTTAAATAATCTTGAATTTTTGGTAAATTTCCTGTGTTATCTCTCAGTAGCCATGCTTATTAAAAATGTATTATTTTAAAAATCATTTTGTATGAATTTTTTTTTCTCTTAAAATTTCTGTGTCTAAATATTGATGGCTGGATGCAGGACTCTGACAAATGTCATTTTGCCATTTGACATTTGTCATAGTCTAGCACCCAGCCATCAATATGTAAAAGTGATTGCAACAACTGTACCTATAGTATCTCTCCAGTGACATAAATACTCGGCTTGAAAAGTTATGTCAAGAAAAGAACACTGAGATGGTGACAATTGTTTGGGGTTATGGAAAGGGTCAAGACTAATTTAAGAGGAACGACAGAAGGAAAGGAAGTAGGACCTACCAGTGGCACCCTCCAACCATGTGTACAACAGCCTGTATCTTCTGTAATCTTAAGAGCTATTGGACTAAATGTCCTTTGAATAATCTTGGAAGTGACACGCTCCCCTCAGTCTAAAAAATCCCTGCTGTCTCTGATGACTCTCACCTTCAAGTTTATTATATATTCCTGTGAATAATGGCTTTTGTTGTTTGTTTTTTTATTTCAGGTTGCCTTGAGGAATTCTCTGCTGAAAAGGCACAAGAATGCTAGGAAGTAGGGAAGGTTTTTTCAGATCTATGTATCTACAACATGAAAATAATGTATGTTACGAGCTCTTGTGCTGTACTTGTGGGTATGTTGAAGAGAACGAGCTGAATAAATTAATGAAATAACACTGAAAGGAGCATTGGTTTGTCTTCATTTATTGTGTTCAGATTCAATAAAAATGTAACTTGTAAAAAAAAAAAGTACAAGAAACAGAGGGTGTAGAATACTACTTTGCTATGCAAGTCTCCATTTACTTTTTAAAAGTGCATAATCTGAAACACTAATAATAAAATATGTTGTAAATGCATTAAAAAAACACACACAAGTACATTTGCAAAATTTCATAAATAATGGGAAATCAGCAGTTCATAATTATCAATATCACATATTTTTCGACTGCTTAGTGTAAGATTCTGTCATACATCATTGTGAAAAGTGGCATATGACATGGTCTTACATTGAGCAGTTGATTTGTATAAGTCTTGTCCTCAATTGTAACATAAACAAATTTGAAAATCTCAATCACTCAAAAATGTGCGTTAACTCCGAAATGTATAATACATAAATTGTCAGCACAATGAAAAGCTTCTTAAAATGTTCAAGTTGCTAAAAAGAGCACCTGGTTCAAAAAGAAAACACTGTCTTTGTGAAAACAAGCTGAAAGTAATGCACGGATTGGTATGGATGAAATGTTTGTGAGGTCTTTAGTATTTTTTTCAGAAATTGTTTTTAGATTGTACTTTTTAGTACTTATTCTGATATGATGGCCTACTACGAGTAGACTTTAGAAAATATCTGTGTGGCGTTTCATTATGACTTATGCCTTCCAAAATTGTACTTTATTAAACTTGTCGCTTAAAGTAAAGGAGTAAAAAAAATGAAAAAAATGAAGCATGTTGTGACCTCTTGACCTGGCAATGAAGTATATGAACAGGTTTGTGTTTGAGCATTTTCCCCAGAATTCCTTTTTCTATTTTGCTGAGGCAATGTCACATTGCAAATAATTTAGAAATATTCATTGATCCAGGAAGCTTTCCGATGCCTGTTTTATGCTCTGTATTTATATATATTAATATATAAATTCTGTATTTATATATATATATATATAAATTCTGTATATATATATATATATATGTTATATATATGTTATATATATATATATATATATGTTATATATATGTTATATATATATATGTTATATATATATATATATTATATATGTAGCAGTAAGTAATTAGTAGCATTTTTTAACTGCTTTTAGTTTTCAAAGTTTTTTTTACCTCAAGTCTTAGCCTGGGTTGGTTAAAAAAAAAAATTTTTAAGATGAATGAAAGACTAAACTGCGTAATAATCCCGAGTATCCAAGCAATTCGTAAATATTACATGCAGCTTGATTTTTTTTAGCAACAAGCAGAATGTGGACCACATGTTTTCACAGAAGATGAAGTAGAAACAAAATAATGTTATCTTATTGAGCGATCATTGGAAGCATGTAATAGTAATACATCAGTTTTCTGGAGTTTCAGTATGACTAGTCATTTGAAAGAATTGTAATTAGAGACATCCTCATTAGCAAACCTTAATGACAACAAAAAAAATCACTCTCCTGCGTAGTACTAGCTGTCTCTCACTCTCATCTAGTTCTTGAGCCAGCTTGTGCCACATATAATAATAATAATAAAAATAATAGCTTGTCCATCAATGTCTGATGATGACCAATACATACAGAGGAGAATATTTCTCCAGTGGAATAGAAGAGTTACAGGTTTAGATGACATGTGGCTTCTGCTGGGGCCGATGAGACCGATTCTGGCAGAGAAAAGTTTGCCATATTTTGAACATTCAAAAGCGCCTCTTCCACCTGGGCTTCTCTCTTAATTTCAGCATTCTTACTTATTCCGTGAAGCTCATATGATTTGCTGCCCACTGTGACTGCTACTCTCCACTTGGGTCTGTCAAGAGCTAGGCTCTCACATTCGAAGTATTTATGCTGAAGTCCTTCAAGGACATTTACAGGGTGTCTTTGTAGCGCTATTTTGGTGCCTCAACCTCACACCTCCCCTAGGACAGTTCAAAATAGACTACTGCCTTAGGGATTCTGGCTTGAAGCCTTCTTACGACATGGCCATCCCAGGGAGGTGGAGTCCTTTTGAGCTTAGAAAACAAACTCTTCGCATTGGCCCTTTTGAGAACTTTGGTGTCTGGTATTTTATCCTGACATTTGATACCAAGAATTCTCCAGGGGGATTTCATATGGAAATGATTAAGCTTCTTGGCATGACTTTAGTACACTGTCTCAGCACCAAACAACAGGGTCGAGAGGACCGCAGCATTGTAGACTTTCAATCTTGCCTCTGTTCCACATGTATACAGGTTTATTTTTTAAAATGGAAATTAATTTGAAAATGATAAAGAACTGTAAAAATGAGACCCTTTGAGTGGTTGCAGGTTCAGGTACAAAATGCTAGAGGGTTTTTTTCTGTCCCTTTCAAGGGTCAGTGTGTATGTTTTACTTTATGTAGGCGGAATTGTCACACTAATGTCTTGAGATAAAAAGGCCATGGTTTACATTGGACAATTCAGCCCCTAGACCAGAAGCTGCGAACCATGAACAGGGCCGAAAAGTTAAACCACGCTACAGGCCTCATAGATACAGTTTATGAAATCATGTGGACAAATAAATATCTCCAACACACCAAATACTACTGGAGCTAACTCCAAATTATGTAAATCTGCCAAAGGCTCGGAAACGAAACAATATTTTTTAAAATTCTGATAAAACCAAAAAAAAACAACCAAAGTGCAATCTAGGCTATCTGTAGTCGTGTACCTTACAGTAAAAGGCATTTTTTCTTGTTTATAGTAAATATCACAGTCTTGTATGATGTAAACAAAAAAAATTTTTTTAAAAGGATGTGAGTTCATGCAAGTTTTGAAAATTCATAACATTCCATCATTTAACTTCAGTACAGATAAAAAAAACTGTAAGGAAGTTTTTGCTTTGAAATAGCAGCCTGGCGCTTCAAATGGATTCTCTTTGTATAAAAAAGTACAAGCCAAAGATGAGCTTTGGCGAGAATATTTTTCAAATGTGGGAATACAGTGGACTTTTTTTCCTTTGTTCATTTGGAGTAAATTGTGTTTTAGACTTTGCATACTCACATTCACAACATTATTTTTCTCTTTGTGACATGTTGACATAGTTGAAACTGTCCAAGATGGCCCCCCATTGCCAAAAAGAAAAGTGGACATAGATAGGTGGACATCTTGGACGTTATAATAATTATCATAACAGAAAAAAATGCAAGGGGGAAGTGAGAAGTTGTCGTTTGTACAGGTGATTGTCTTGGACAGTTGGCTGTTGGAGAAGGAGGAGTGACTGATATATCGAACATTTTTCTTAAAATTAAGAGAATTTATTTTAGTTGAAACAGTATGAATTTTCAAGTCTTCTTTTAAAAAATAATACCAATTTTTAATGCATAGAAATGATAATATAAATAATATTATTTACATCTTCAAAGTTCTGCTTCTGGAGTATATTTGAAAGAATTTTTGCTTTTGATAAAATCATTGCTCATAGATCTTGTTCCAGTAATAACATAGTAAAATGAATTTGTCCGCAATGTAGTTAGAAACACTTAAGTAAGGATTTTAAAGGAAATCTGAATGCAAAACTGCTCTTGAGGACCCGTTCACATTGGTGATGTGTAAGACAAAAATATTTTTTTTTTAAAGAAGATTACTTGTGAAGAATAGGATACATGTATACACCTTGCAATTTGCTCAAATTGGCGTTACTCCTGTAAAGTATTCCCCCATTAAAGAGGGTAAAGTTTGTTGATTTTTTTTTAAACCATGAGTTCCAAAAACAGCTCTGTTAAAGATGGTAGAGTTTGTCAATTCTTTTAAAAAACATCAGTTCCTTAAAACAGCTGCTCTAAGTAATTTGTTTTAATGAATTGAGTAAGGAGAAGCACATCGACGCATTATCATAAACAGTCATAAAATGAAGGGAAAAAATAAGACAAAGACAGAAACTCACCCACCCTCTAAGTTTAAGTAAGATCAGTTCCGTACTATCATACTATAATTTGTAGTGTGCTCTGCCAGTTGAGGCAATCGCATTATGGAAGAGTTAAGCGTTTAAGCATTTTTCTTTGGTATTCATTGCAAAAGAAACACCTATCTAATGATGGAATAGCAGGGCAAAACCGTTCCCAAGACATTGTGACCAAAATTATGTGACTCTAGTTACTGATTACTGTATATCATTACGAATAGGATGCATGCGCTGATAATAAGATGCTGGTTGACTTGACAGACGGAATTTTTTATTTTTTTTTTTGGTAAGTGTTTAACAGTGCTCGCAACTGCATAAGGTCATATGAGCACGCGGGACACATTAAACTTTTTCAGTTGGTAGGAAATTTTGAATTTTGCCATGGTGCCGCCCGAAGCCTACTCTTATCGATTTTAGACAACCAAGGGATCTTTGACTTCAACGTGCACAACTTGCACACGGGACCTCCAAGATTTTTAACCCTTGCTGGAGAAGGCTAGGTGTAGATCTTTCCTACCAGAAGATCAGGGGTGTGGCTGAAAGACAGCAATAGGAAGGAACCAAGGAGTAGCAGTAGAAAGGCTGCAGAAAGAGTCAGGAGCCCAGAGGTGGGGACAAAGGATGTGAGGGGGTGGGGGCAGAAAGAAGAGACAAAACACAGACGACAGAACATTGCTGGAGAACCAGAAAGGAGGTGAAAGGAGACAATTTTAGAGAAGAAAATTTTTCAGTCACGACCCGAATTCTAACCCGGGACCTTTGAATCAGAGGCCAATACAACTTCTAGGCCACGAGAGCCCCCAAATTTTTGTATAAATCATAACTGCGCAGTGTAAGAGAGAGACTCTGCCATACGTCACTTTTCAAAATGGCGTATGACGGAGTCTTTCACCAAGCAGCTGATATGTTTAGCAGATAAGACACCATTTTGTTCATAAGTATAGCAAACAACACCACACGTTATGTTTGCGAGTGGATTTTTCATTAATAAACTAAATTTCAAAACAAAACAAATTAAGGATTTTTTTACCAACAGGGTCTAGTTAAATCACCAATTTAGATCTAAATCTGCAGTGCACCAAACAACAGCCTGTCAAATTTCATATCTATGGATTACATGCATGGAGACTTTGATTACCTGATTTTCAGGTAAAAAGTTGTGTCCTAGATGTGACGATATACAGTAGTTGGTTACTGATATTTTGATCCGTTGTGTACCCCCATCCTGGACAGCTTTGTGGTGTGTGTGGAAAACTTTGGTCTAAGAAATTCAACATTTTTGCTGACACCGTATAACAATGTACTTCATGAACCCAGTTTTTGCCATACTCATTTTGATTTTCTTTTTGCTTTGGGGTTACATCTGGTTCTCTACTCAATATCGTCTTGGTCAGGAGGCTGCTGTTTGAAATCAAATGTTCATTGTCTTGCTACGGCTGCATATTTCAAGAAGTGCAGATGTTTCTTAATTCTTTGAACAATTTTTTTGTCTTGGCAGGCAGGAGGGGGTTGAGGGATTATAAAATTAGTATCCTCCGTGATGTGCAACCCCCCAAAGTACTATGTATTTTCTCTGTATATAAGTACGGTACAATAAGTTGCTGTTGTGCAATAATTTCGCCAGCTTCCATGAGACTTCATAGGCCCTGAGACAACATCCCCTGTGAACATACTGTATCAGACTTCCTCCTTCCTCCCCACATTCAGCACCGATCAATGTGATGTTAGACCATGTCCAGACTCGGCAGGGCCTTCACTCCTGCTGTTTTTCGGATGGGACCGTACCGAGGGTCGAGAATTCTCTGGTCTTCCGGAATGTTTCTGGAACAGAAGTCAACCCATGATTGTTATGTTTGCATCTCTACTAAAGAAACATATATGACTTGACATTTAGTATTATTTACTATACAGTCTAGACCTAGAATACACACACTTATATTATATAGTATATTAATATCATTATAATATAGTGATACATGCGCAGCGAATAGATTTTCAGGTCACTAGTTTTTTTAAAAACATTTATTCTTTGCATGGTATTTAAAATGTGTACTTAACGAAATTCATATTCATATAAAAAACAAAAAGATTTACGTGTCCTGCCAATTTCGCAATGTGTGTGTAGAGTACATGCATTTTTAGATTTAAAAAGAACAACGTAATTGTCAGCAAGCAGTGGTCAAAACTCCACACCACCCTAGTGCTATCCTGGCCTCCCTGATATTGGCATGCATCAATCTTACAAATCCATTGCCATCGGTGATTGCTTCTCATAAGACCACTGGTTTGGCCAATTAAAAACAACAGGAACAAATGAATGTCTCCTTTATTTCCACCCTTAGACCCACCCTTCCCTGTCATAAACACAATTCAACCAAGGCCACCCCTCCCGTGCATGTAACAACGATTCCAGGAACTTTTTTCTCGGCTGGCCATACGATCAGGGAGGCAGGCAGTGGTCAAACTCAAACTAATTTCATACCTCTGGCTACCCTGGGGAAGTTTTCGAGCTGGCACCCCTCTTGAGCGCTTTTCACAAGCAGTGGTGAGATTTCACATCCTCACCACCCTGTCCATCTGCATCATTCACAACTAACATAGACTGATGGGGTTACAGCTGCCCCATATCTGCATCCCCCCCCCCCCACACACACACAAACACACTCAAACTCACACACACACACACACCCCCCCCCCCCCTTACACACTTCTCCCTTGATGACAATGTGTAACTGTAAGAGTCATTGGAACCAAACTAAAGAGTTTTGTTTCAAATAAGGGTTTTAAGCTGACAAGTATTTTCTGTCTTGGACAAGTTAAAACCCTTTGAAAGGAAGGAATTTCTCTTTCCTTCTCTGGGTTGAACAAGTTTCCGTTTTGTAGAGGTAGTGGTAATTATAGAGGAATTCATCAAGGGGGGAGCAGGGAGATTCCGTTATTACATGTTTCCGTTATGGCAGGTTTGACTGTTGTGTATTCTTTTTGAGGTTTGTGGATGTGATGAGGTTGGTAACACTGTAAAATGAGTTTGAAAGTTACTATAAGCCCACCGATATGATAGGATTGTACAAGCATGCCTTAATAGGAGACCGGTTTGAAAACAAAACAGAAAAAAAACACTAAATTATATTCACTGCCATTTAATGTACTAGTGATCAAAAGAAAGGAACCTTTTTTTTTATTGTGTCTAGAATCTAAACTTCTGAGTATTTCATGTGGGTAGTACTAAGTACTCTGAAAGTAGGTAATGTTATAAAAAATAACGTTTTGGTGCTTCAATTAGAGTTCACAGCAACATTGTAAAAAACAGAAAATTCAGATTATTAAAATCCAACCACGAGGTGGATTTTTTCCATTCTTTGATTTTTATGAAGTTTAGGTCTTTGTTTATTAAAAACTGCATCATTGTCACCCAAAAGAGACGGTACCTTTGATTCAAGATAAGAAAAATCACGCCATCTGCATGCTCAGCGCGCTGCTGTTGCGAGGACATTCAACTTCAACAGAAAGACTATCACTATCAGCCAATTCAGACAAGGACACCTTGTGACTTGATCTATTCAAAATTGACCCAGAAGTGACTGTTCATAGGTAAACACTGAACAGTGTCAGGACAGTGCACCTGAGAAATCGTTTCAGGACAATTGCTCAAACCTCATGACATTTTCCTGGACCTTTACTCGTCAGCTAGCATACTGCTCGTCGCAGACAGTAGGAATTCAAGACTGAAGCTATGATGCCTACATGAAGACTGCTTTTACAACCAAAACACTGCCAGGCTAGGATGAGCTGGTCACAGCAACACCCACGATGGACTTAGAGTGGGACACTGTCACCTTCTCGGACGATTCTCAATTCCAAGTTGAACACCACGATAGTGCAAAAGTGTACCGGAGACCTCACGAGCAATATCTGCCATTATTTCAACCACACAATCAGCCCATGATATTCTAACAGGACAATGCACCCTCACATCGTGAACTCCACTCTGAATTAAATTCTTAGAATTCCAGAATAACGTCACTGCAATAAACCTATGACCTGCCATTTCACAAGGTTTTCACCAAACTGAGCAACAGTGGGAAAGGTTTAACTGTGTGGCGTGTGACTTGAATCCAGGTCCCAGAACCATTTTACTACTGCAGCAAGCCCTCACCAATATCTGAAACAACATTGTGCAGGAAGACTTGTGTACTCTATGCACAGGAGATGCACTGATGTGTTGAAAGCTCCTGAAGATCAAACAGCGTACTGATGTGTGACTTTTGAATGTTACCCTTATTGTCAAATTTCAATCATAAAAGAGATAATTTTGCTGGAAAAATAATCATTTCACCTGGTTTTATCTGTGGAATGCCTCATATTTCAATTTCATGGTCAAAAGAATCGTCATTTTTCTACAGGAATGGCAAACCGATCAAACATATTGGGTGATCGCCAGTAGGCCTATATGATGGGGGAAAAAAAAAGAAAGTACAGGCATGTCATACTAGCTGAAAGGTTAAAGAAAAACAAAATAATAATAAAAAAACACTGCCAAACAACTCACCCTCCCATGTCTCTGTTAGATCGAGGACTTTCCGTGTTATAATCACGATTCGACTGCGGGGTGTCTTGCTGGGGGTGGTGGCGCGTAGGTGACTCTCGGTGTGTGTTCATGCGATGCGGGGACTCCTGTGACGCGTGCATCATTTGTCGCTGCTTGGACTTGAGCTCTCCGATGTTGCCCTTGGTAGCGTTGATCTCCAGGACGTACTGTTTCCTCTCATCATTGGCTTTGTGGTAGGCCTAGTGGAAGTGTGAACAAAGTACCCATAATACCCACACTTAATCTTAGAGTTACAGTACTTAGAGACTATAATAGTAATAATAATAATAATAATAATACAGTTGATTACAGATGACCTGATCTCATTGGGGGAGGTTAAAAAAAAATCAACTCATTTGAAGTTCAACTTAAGTGTCAGGATCTGTAAAATGTAAAGAAAAAGAGGAGATTGGGACCCGAGAAAGAGATCAACTCAAACAAAGATCAAACTCAGGTGAGTTCAACACAAGTGGAGCAGACTGTAATACAGTGGAATCCTGTTATAACGAGACGTAGGGGACCGGTGCGAAATGTCCGTTATACCAGGATTCTCGTTATAAGGAATCCAGTATAAATTCAATGGAAATAATAAAGTAGGCCTAATCTATGAGTTTTGTGTTCTGTTTATTTCTTTTTGTTATCTACCCTGATGATGACATTGTTCAACATGACTTCTAGGTCTTACTTGATCAAAAATCGAATCACGTTTCTTTCTCAAGCGCTAGCCATGTTGACAGCACGGCATTGGCGATCAGAAAGAAAGCGCTCTGGGTTAACTCGCCCGTTGTGTTGTCCCCCACCCCACCGCACCCTGTGGTGTGTTTCGTCTGCTTGCGCATGTTACTACACATTCGCTCCATCCATCACAGCATTGTGACCTCTCCCTCCCCGCATCGGAGAAGTGAAAGCATGGGTAGTAGTAGGCCAGAGACAATCTAGACTAGGCTGGCCTATCACACGATGCGTTCTGCTTGTCTGCGCTTACCACACCCTCCCCACTCATTCGCTCCGGCCTTCATTGTTGGCAAACGTCGGCTCTCCTATTCTTTGTTTCGCTCAAGGAGTTGATGTAAGGTCCTAGGTTTCGCTAGATCACCAACAAGTTTCTCAACTGGCCTGTGCGCTGTGCACAGCAGCAGCAATATTCCGCTATAACCGACTCCCGTGTTTGTCCGATTGCGCTATAGCAGTATTTTATTTACAAAGATAAAGAAGGGGAAAAAACAGGGTTTTAGAATAGTGTCTTAATAACAGACTTCTCGTTGTTTCAGGACTCGTTATAAATGGACTCCACTGTAAAAGTTATGTAGGAAACAACACATTCTGTCATATGGTTTTAAATTGCAGTGTAAATGTAAGCACAGATCCATATATAGAGATTTAAAAAAAACTAAATTAAATGCTTACCTTGGATTCTTGGTCAAGTCTCCACTCCAAGTCTCTGAGCTGACTGTGCAGGCTGTTCTTCTCTCTTTCAAGCGATTTCACCATCTGAGGGTTTGCCTGTAAAGAAACGAAAGAGACATTTTTCGCACTTCACACACTTTGATCTCTTTGTGTTCTCATCTCTTTTTGAAGCACTACAAATCCAGCTTTGCGCTTACAAGCCAAATATTAAACAGATTCAATAGTAGAACAACATGAGCATTGTTTGCTGCGAATTCATCATTTTGTTTGAATTATCATAATTCTCTCCAATATTTTCCTAGAATCTAGATGCTTTGCCCTTCTGTAACTGTAACAAAATTTTTTTAAGTTGAAAACTAGCTGATGGATTATGTATTCAGTTTCAGATTTCACAAAGGGAATAAAAAAAATAAGCAAAAGTAGATCTACAACTTTACTCCCAAAACACTTTGTGACTTTGTTACTGCAACAATTACACCAAATATATTTAAAGTTACTTGTACTTATAAATCAGAATTTTAGAAAAATACATGGTTCATACTCACATCAGACAAATCATCAAAAGAGCGATTGTCCCTTGGAGTTTTACCAGCTGCATAGATAGAAATTAAAGAAAGCAATATTTTCTAGAAAGAGAAATTATAGAAAAACAAATACTCAAGGCATGCACACATTTTTATTTATAGATTTAATCCAAAATAACATTTAAAATACTCTTAACCCTATCCGTACGCCCTGGGGTCATTTTGTACCCCCGGGGTTGTATTCTTCACATTTTAGAATACTTCTAGTGCGAAGATCTCTTTGAAACTTTCAGTATTTCTCAAAATGAGAGACTGCTATGCAAAGCGTACGGATCGGATTAACAAGTAAATTTCCTCTTTGGAAAGTGGTGGCACAGAGTTCCCCAAGTTGTATGGATACGATAGTAAAACACGATGTACGGATAGGGTCAAAAGTTTTTCCAAGCACTGGCTCAGATGCAAAGGCAAAGGTCAGTGGGTCCCATTCCTGACTGTCACACACTAGCTGATGTTTTGTCCTTGAGCGAGATTTCTTAAAATGTCTTTCTTCACTTCGTTTAGGTGTAATTGAGTAAAGAATCCACTGGGGCTCAACCATTGCTGCAAAAGGTGGCCTTAGTTATGCTGATCCAGCAAACTCTAACTCGGGGTGGATCTGACTCTGCCCAATTTCCTACAGGTTGATGGAGGATCAAAGATTAAGCTTCTCTATAAGAAACTGGAACCACGTGGTTGAAGGGCGCCACCTGTAGGTTCTACTTCTTTACAATCGTTGTTTTTCCTGTCTGTTTGCCTTGCTTTTCTCCCACAGCTAAACAACCCTTATCATGTCGCCAGGCTTCTCTTTATTAAGACCAAAAAGAATCTGGGGTAAATCCAGCTTTACGAACCATGAGAGTCTGGACGATGAAACTAGTGTAACAGTTGCTTAAGTTAACTTTTCTTAGAAGAAATTTCATTGAGTGTCTATCATTCTACTACTACTAGGAAGCATTGCATTCCACTCGGCACACATTGGCCCTGGCAGGCAGAGTCCAAGAAAAGCCCATTTCCAAAATAATCAAATTATGTCAACGGGGGTGTAAAATATTTATAATCATAATTTGTGAGCAAAACCGGCTTGGAGCCTTATTTGACTTTGAGCCTCAAAAAAAATTAAATTAATTTTCTAAATTCGATTCTGCAGGACGAAGGGAAAAGTTAGATCTAGCTAATAGAATTTAGTTGATTTTTGTTTAAAATTAATAAAATCCTTTCTTACATGATAAAATAAGGCATCAACTAATACCCCTCAAACTTCATCCTATCAGAGTAGAGACCACAGCCAATTCGGAGATCCCACCATTTTCAAACTCACTATATATTGTTCAAAAACAGAGCAGAAAGACAACCTAAAAATAAATAAAACCTCACCTTCTCTTAAGTTCTTCCTCGCCTCCTCTACCTTATCCTGCAACATGACAATTTGTTTCTCCAGTTGTTGATTCATCTCTGTCTGTGTCTCAAACCGTGTCTTCCACTCATTCCCTGCAAACAGCATACAACTCTGACACTCTAGCCACTAATAAATCTAAGACTTAAGCCAGCATCTATGAATAGCAAAACACATTCTTGAACTATATGGTATACAAACACAGCAGTTAGTACCTTTCCTTTGCTTTATGGAATAGAAAAAAAAAAGGGGGGGGGGGGACAGGACAGCCAACAAAGCATTTATCCACCATGCAGTGACCACAAAAAGCAATGTTTACAATGATAATAAAAAAAATGTTGCAGCTGTAACTTTCCTCAGTCTAACACTGGCATTTTAAACAAAATATATATGCAATACTTGAATTATGTCAAGATAAAGAAATCAAGCATTATACACTGATGATTTCTTGCACAATGAGGGCACATGAAGTTAATTAATTTTAATTGATAGTTAGACGGAGATTAAATAGTATGCTAAAGAAGAGGGAGAAGAAAAACATTGAAAATGACTGAAAAAATGGCAGAGACAATGTAACTTCCAAGAAACTACAGGTATTTGAGATAAACTTGAACATTATATTAAAGGAGGCGGTATTAGAGGCAATTAAGACAGAAAGAGTCATAATACGGTATCACATGGTCTCAAGACAGTTCCCCTGCTCTCCCAACTTCAAGAGCAGTATCATGTTTTACAATCTTATTTTACACAAACATTCATCCAGCAGTAAATAGGTACTTGGAATAAGTGAAAGATATCAATGTACGCGCCTAAGAAGCTGCAATGTATGTTCTGAGGGGGACTGAAAAGGTAGAGTGGAATGACCAGACCAGCTCCCAGGGAGCTAATACTAATAGAAAATTAACACTTTGAAACTTTAAAATTCCAAAAAGATTTTTCTTTAAAAATCATTAAATAAAAGAAGCAATGTAGCATGAGCTGCCTACTACTAACAAATGTGAGTTCTTCTGTAACTTCATGTCATGATACTTTACTTTCATAGCGACAACACAAAAATACACTGCCGGCCAGCCAAAAGCAGCACACACTACAGTGAGACTTTATATTATTACTTATGCAAATGGACTTCATTACAGTCCTTATGCAAATGAGACTTTTAAAAATCTTTAATGAGGTTTATTCACATTCCAAAGATGCAAATTAGTTATCTAAGTGCACAAAATACCTTGTCACCGATGTCCTTTTTTGGGGGTATCCAATACCTTCATTAACTGAGCATTTTATTACAGTACTAAAATAAATGGGTTCTAACAAAGAAGGAAAGATCATAACTAAAGGTAAAAATAAAATCTTATTATCATTTTGAAGTAGAGGTGACAAAATCTGAAATGGTACCTGGAGTAAGAGAAATATTCCAGAGGAATTGGTTTGTTATCTTAATGACTGAACAGCAGCCCTCTCTATTTGACTCACTTGATGATCAGAACTCAGCATACAACAAATCTAGCTGTTTCTACAAACTTAATTTGTTATTACAGGAGAAAGTTTTTGGTCTTATTAAAAAAACAAAAGAACAGTATGTTTTAGTTTTTAGTACAAGGTTTTAGACCGCAAGTTATGTCTTGAGCATTCAAAGTATCAATGTTTAGATACTTGTAGACATTCTAAAAGCAACTAGATATTAATATTAGAAATTAGTGTGAGAGTGCGATGTGATTTCTCCTTTATGCATAGTGCAAGCAACCTGGAAAATTGGAATATACTCAGAAGCAAAGAGGCAAAAAGTTATCAGCACTACCAAAACTTTCCAGGACCCTCAGTGATTTTCACAAACTACATATTGACACTGTCGCAAGAAAAATGAATAACTTCTATGTTTTGTAGACTCCATGTAAAGAAGGGTCAAACTCAGTTACTCATTCCTGACTCCGTTACTCATTTTTCCTGTGATGGTGACAATACACTACGTGCATATAAAAGTAGTAACAGAGCTATGTTGATAAGAGGGAGTGAAGAGAGGGCTCGGTGTGACACACAACCAGAGATGTAGGGAGGCTACCTGAAATACAACATGACAAGATGTGAAAAAAATTTGGGTAGAGGCCAAAAAAAGAACCCTGTCTTGGTGATAACTTATAAGCCTTTTACTTTGAGAGGCCATATGTGAGGCAGCGTGGTGGAATCAGGCTCTCGTCAAAATAATCAAAGTGAAGAATCTTGCATTTTTCCGCAGGTTTGTGAATTTTTATCAAATTTTTGTTTTTGGCTCATCACCTTTCATGCCTATTAAAGAACTAATTTCTGTGTGGATTTTTCTGAAAAGAATTGAATAAAGGCTAAAAAAATGTAAATTTTCAGTTACCACGGGCTCTTAAGCTAAGGAAATAACTAATCTTTGGCGGCCATTTTCTCACTAATTTTACCTTTGAAAACAAGTGACCCCCACCTCCTTCTTTCACAAATATCTTGACTTGTATTCAAGATAAATGGATATTTTTTTCATCCAAAGCAAGACAAGTGAATAAACTTTAAGATGATACCAATAACTCTACTTGTCCAAAAATTGACAAGAGCCTGATTCCACCACGATGCCTCACATATATAAACTGTAACATTTCCATCTAAGAAATTTGCTGATCAGCAACATATGTTTCTAGATCATCTCATAACTTAAATTACACTCTACCCCAACATAACTCGAAAGATATGTTTAAACTAGAATTGTTCATAAGTATCATGTATGTCAATGCAGACTGGTTGTTATAAAAAAGCAAGATGGTTGTTTTAAAAGCATTACAGTTAGGACCCGCTCCAACTATGATAAAAGAAGAAAAGTATCTTGTGAGTCTCCATGTGCACCTACTCCTCACCATTTCAACACAATTTCTTATAGATCTAGTCTATGACTTCCACTTTCACATCACTTATCTCTCAATTGGACGATTTTTCCCCCATTCACATACATTGAAGAAAAGTAGCGGCATACCATTAGTAATTAGTTCAGTTCATATCATGCAGAACTATAGTACTGAAGACTGATTTGCAACTCTGAAAGGACATCATTAAACTCTGATTAGTATCAATGATCAAGGCCTTCCATCCACTTGGTGCAGTCTATCAGAAACAAGCTGTAAAGTTCATAGGTCCCACCTCTCAAATAACCTTACACTTACAGCATTTAAGATAGACAATAATTTATAACCTATTCCACACCAAGAAATGTACAAACTTATCCTGGAAACTTAGAATGCATTCAGTAACCTGGCTATTGGAAGCTCTAAAATGAAAGTCAGTGGAACTGTTTGGAATACAAAATTCAAGTAAAAACTTTGCTAAAAACAAAATCAAAGAATAGTCTCCAGAGTTTGTTGCTGTCTTACCACAGCGATAGCAACATAAGTACATGTAGAGTGTAGATGATTGAAATGACAATGAAATGAGATCTCTAAAATGAAGAACATTTTTTTTTCAAGTACAAAACACCTTGATCATTGGCAGAGTAGGTCATAAACATATCCAAGGATGACAATATTTGCTGGCTCTTTCACCATGCGATGCATTCTCAGCAAAATCCCAAAACAAATAAATTTCATTTATATATTAACAGATTTATAGTTTACGAATTTTCCTCAAAATACTACTCAACAGAATGTTTAGCATTCATTATAACAGGTATCTCAGCCAAAAGTATTAACGTTTTTTTTTCTTTGATTATCAAAACAATACTTAAGATCATAGTAATAAGAGACATAAGCTTCAGATCCATAGTTGAGAAAAAATAATAGGAAAGAAAGAAGCACAACGGTTAGAAATAAAGTTTTTACCTTTAGAAAGAAGTTTTCTTATTCACATTGGTCATTCCAACAGATTAGATAATTGACTAATAGACAGTGAAGCAGAAGCAGTAAAAAAAAATTATGTCCATTTCGGTTTACCAAAGCGCACATGGGTACTTATAATACATTTTGCCCTCTATCTATATATGTTGCAAGTTAAGGAATCACATATCTGCATGTATTTCTGACAAAAATTGTAATGCTGCGTATTCTTTTTTGTCTACCAGTAAAGTCAGAATAAGAAACATAGTCCTCACTTTGTCATCAAGTAACAAAACATTTCACTGGAGTACTATTGTAAAACACATAGCACAAATCACAGTCAAACACATACATCACATTCATGCACTCTTTCACGCATGTGCATACACAAAGAAAAACACACAGCACTCTTCAAATTGGTGAATATTAGCAATTTTCATTCCAACTCATAAAGACAGCCAAAGCCTACCCTCTGGATCATCACGAAGTTTCTGTATCAATTCATTAGCTGGAAGTAAGGGGGTATTTCGAGCTGTAGTAAACACAGACACAAATTGAAAACAGCAGAAACTTTGACAGTTATTTAGCAACACGATTGTGATATGGAAAAAGAAGACAATTAATTCAAAAGATAGTAACAGAAGTAATTATATTACAGAGTATCAGAAGAGAAAGAAATCTGTTAATAATATCTTTAATGAGGGTCAGTAATATGAAATTATATTCTAAATGATGGTGCAGAAGTAATAGACTGAAGGAAAAAATCAACTTTACAACTGTCCACTGTCCACATTTCAACTGTGTGCAGTGATTCTCTGACATCAGAATATAGAGAACACAAACAATATGAACCTACAGTTACATGTACAAAAATAACCCCATAAAGATTACCTTCATTTTCAATTGTGTCATATCGCTTCTCCAGTTCATCAATTGTTGCTTTCAGTTCCGCAGAAGACTGATCAAGCATTTCCCTGAATTAAAAAAATTAAAACCAAAAATAAATGAATGAAGACAAATGAAAATGAAGGCTGTGTAAACATGTCAAGTGAAATGTCAAGGTGTAAAAGCTAAATAGTCAACATTCCATACACTGCCGCAGAGAAGAAGAGTGGTTCACAGAGATGTAATTAAAGAGACTGTTCTTGTCCTTCACAAATGTTTTTTGTATTGCCAGAAAGATGGAGAGACGAAAACAAGGAAGTGAAAGGAAATAAAAATTAAAGACAAAAAGACAGAAATAAAGAGGAGTTAAACAGTTGAAGAAAGGAAGTTAATGTACATGTTGATATTTGTGTCTTATCATTATATACATAGGGGAGTTCGAGAATAAAGCAAAGAGAGCCAGAGGAGATAAAAGAAAACATATGGGTATAAAAGAAAGAGGAAAGGAGTTCACACGTATAAAATGGATTAAGGTGGAGAGAAGCACAGTTGATGAGAGAGAGAGAGAGAAAGAGAAAGAGAGAGCGAGAGAGAGAGAGAGAGCGAGAGAGAGAGAGAGAGAGAGAAGAAAGAGATCAATAGGGGGAGGGGAAGGGGGGAGGGGGTAAAAGAAATGGAGAGAAGAGTTGTCATATTAACTATACCCGGTACATTTAGGGTGAGGTACAATAAAAGTGAATTTGCTGTGTAGTAGAAAAAGAGTAAGTACGCAACAAAGAGTGTAAATTCACTAGATCACGAATGGGCAAGTTGACCCAGTAATGAATTAATGTGGTCCATGAAGATTTTTTAAAAATCAAATATTTTATCCCATGAAATGGCCCTGGGAGACAATCATGACAATATGTGTCAGTTTTAGCTTAATTTTTGAAAGCTTGATCAATTGATTTCACCATATTTTCTCCTGCTTTTGCTTGCAATATATTAAAAAATCACTAAGTCTGACTTGTGACTTGGACATGCTTGCACATGCCTAAGCTATAGGTGTAAGTGAATGACAACCCAACATTTATGGACAAAATGACTACGTATTTAATTTTATTTGGGTTCAGCTTTATATCAGCAGGTATTAGGTTGGACCTTACTGAATATATTAAAATAACTTGGGCTGATAGGGGAGTGTGAAAGCTTCCAGAAAATGCTATTGCAAATAGATAGACAAACGTTAGTTACTAGAATCTGAAAGCATCATTATAAGCAAAAATTACACAAAACATTGGTTGTTCAGCATATGCATTTTTCCCTGATAGTAAATGATGTTGAATTCCATTCTGTTAAGTGCTTGAAGCTTCTCAAATATTTTGCTTACTCATAAGTTATTTGGTTTCGTGTAGATTCTACACTCCAAAAGTTAAAACTAAAAGTACCAAAACTATAACAGTAACTGTTGTAACTACGGCTCGGCCACATGGTGAAAACTTCAGGGTTTGGAAAAATAAAGCAGAGCTGTGGTTTGTAACAATACACATACATCTAAACGACCCGTAATTAATCGTTTAAACAATATTTAAAAGTTTTATCCACTAACTTCATCTGTCTTTCTTGTTGTAACTCAGCTCGAAGCTTTTCGAGATCGAATTCTGTAAAGTCCGCCATGTTGGTTCCGCTATAAACGTTGCTATGATTTATGACGTCACTATACGGCAAGATTATAAAAATGAATGACTTCAAAAAGGTCTCGAAACAAATTTTATTAACTGGTCACCAAAATTCTCAGGCATTTTCCCAAGATACTAGATCTAATTCTAATGCAGTGCAGTGGTCTAATGATTAGAATTGAAGGACACCTAAATCCAGACGGGAAATAAACAACTACTGTTTGGTTTGGCTTTTTTTGTTTTGTTTTCTATCATTATTGTTTCTCCTATCTTTATGTAGCATTAAAACATGGTTCAAACTTCTGTCGCAGCTTCCTTTCCACAGGTAATGGTTTGTTTGTTGACTTTTAAAAATTATTGTTGCTGTTGCTGTTGCTGCAGCTGTTGTTATTGATGTTATTGTTGCTTTTTGTTTTGTTGTTGTTGTTGTTGTTGTTGTTGTTGTTGTTGTTATTGCTGTTGTTGTTTTTGTTGTTGTTGCTGCTGCTGCTGCTGCTGCTGCTGCTGATGATGATG